CAAAAAAAAAAAAAAAAAAAAAAAAATATATATATATATATATATAGACACGCGCGCAAAAAAATCTCTACAAAACATAGGCTAAATATCTTATGATAGTCATCAAGTGAATCAACTAGTTTTGAGAGCGAACTTGCCCGTTTCAAAATCCTTTTAAAGGGTTCTAAAAATTTTCCTTTTTCAATATAAGATCGATTTCCAATTTTTCTGATCGTGCCAACTAGTTCGATCTAACACTCATAACATTAATATCATACGTCAAATCATGTTAAATGATGTGTATCAAATGTACTTTTGTTTTATGATTGCAAGGCAAATTCATCTACTAGTGGTTGGCAATTTTGGATGTACATGTACTCAAAAGGGACCACTTTGAAAAAAAAAAAAAAACCCTATTAATTTCTTCTTGTTGGGATTGCTTTTACAAAGTGTGTAAATGGTGTCATTAAATGGTAAAAACAGCTAAGTTTGGACCAATTACATAAAATAGAACAAACGTTTCAATTGACTTTCTAGGCCTTTGCCTAGAATATGTTCTCACCAATGTAATTGATAATTTAATTTAATTTGTTTCCTTATTTTAATAATTATCTCTTTGTTATGTCTTATTATGATTTGTCTTTAATGGGATGAGCTGGTTTAGGGTTTGAATATGTGATTTAGCACGACAAGATGAAGTCTTTGTCATAATTAATTAATGGTGTTAGCTTAAGACAAAATTATGTTAAATAAGACTGTTTGTCAGCATCTCACTTGCTAGGCCTTAATCTCTATTGGTGGGACGGTATGCGACAACATGCCTGTTCACATTTTCATTCTTACCAACGGACGTCTCTCTAATTATTATTCAAAATGTTTGAAATAGAAAAACTATATAATATCTTGTTTTGTTGAACAAGTTATATAAAACTTGCTAGACTAGAAATATTGTAATTTCAAATTCACCTTTGTAATAAATAAATTTACTTTTGACCGAAGACGTAGAAAATTAATCATTATATCTTCATGAAAACATTCAGAGTCTGTTTGAAAGTAATTTTGTGAATTGATTTTTTGATCGTTACGAAAAAAGTGGGGTCCATTTGTGAGAGAAAAAGTCAAATATGACGGATGAAATAGTGAAATAATGGTCAAAAAATCAATTTTCTGGATGAAAAAATCGCTCCCAAACAGGCCCTCAAGAAACCACAATTTTTTTTTTTTTTTTTTTTTTTTTATTCAAACTTTTTTTCATTTACACATTTCATCAATTTTTATAAAAAATCTATTAAAAATATATATTTTAGCTAAACCAAACAAGGGCTTAATCAAATCAAAGCCAAGAGGAACATTAATGCTGCACACCTTTAAAATTGCATTCCTAGTCCTAAACTCTTAATAAAATATAAACTAGTCCCTAAGATAAACATAAAGTATGAAGCCTTGGATTGCATTTGGGTGGGAGTATGTAAACTACCACACCTGCAAAGTTTATATGTTTAGAAAATGAATTACATTGCTACAAAATGCATCTCTAATAAATATAAAATACTGACAAATATTATACTGTTAACTTTTTCTGATCAAGAAACAAAATACTACTTGATCAGCTGGTGAAGAACTTCCGATGCCCAACATGTTTAGATGTCAACGGTACTCCAAGTCTTCGTACTTCACAAGTTCTTAAGTTGATTGGATTCACGATGTTCACTGAAGTAACAACCATGATTTACATTCCCATTATCTCTACTTCTTATAGTGGACCTGCTAAATCATTTTTCTGGATCTTTCTTTCCCTAAAACAGCTTCTTATGGCATTTCATTCCCTAAATTCATCGAACAGAAATTTCGAACACACTAGTAATCTGCAATTTTGAGAACTGCAGACATTGTATAGAGCATAAATGGCCAATAGCATCAAGTAAAACAAACTAGTTTCTTAGAACAGGTTACAGGTTGAATGTGGAACGTACTTTTCTCTGCCTCTCTTGAGACATTAACACTATACTACTACCATTGACCTAAATTGATTTACATCTTCATCGCAACTGTAATACAAATACTTTACATGAATTGGGCATCCTCAAAGCGATCTAATCATTGACCTACAGAGCCGATTCTGAGATTTTGGGTGCCTGTGCGAGATTTTATAATGGTGGCCCCTTCAAGTAATTGAAACATATATTAAAAAAAAAATAGTTCAATAATATTATTTCATTGCAAAAGTATGATATTTAATTTTTTTTCTTTTTTTAACATACATGAACAAGAAAAACATAAATAAAGCTCAAAAGAATCTCTCGAATTTCATCAAAATTCATGTCGTCAACAAAGAACCATCCAAACCACTAGCCTCTTCGTGCAATTCCATATAAGCAAACTTTGAAAAAATATATATATCAAGTCAAGTGTAAACCTTGAAATGCAACAAATCATGTAAAAATATATCTTCTCACATTTTTAAAAACAAACTCACTAATTAAATTTTCGTAATCAATATTTTTTAAAAAGTCTTGCTCTATAGATATCAAAACTAATCCATTCAATCGTTCTTGTAACATAGTTGATCGCAAATAAGATTTTAATAACTTTAGTTATGAAAAACTTCTTTGAGCACATGCAACAGTAAAATGAATTAAATCAATCTTGATTCTTCAAAAACCTGTGTATCACCAATCAAACGAAAAGAGAATCAAAGGGTTGTAAAAAATCCAATGAATCAATTTCATTAGCAGATTTCACTTCTTAGTTAATTGATTTCACTTAGTAATAATAAATTAAAAATAGTGAACCCATTTTCACAGTTAATTGATTTCACTTAACAGTAAATCTATTCACAATTAATTGATTTCATTTATTAAATTAGTAATTATAAATTATGAATGGTGAACCCATCTTCGAAATATTGAAAAGGAATTTACATTTTCTTCAATATTCAGAGAAATTATTGAAGAAAAAATATGTTGAGGAAACAAAAATTCACTTGTAAATGTTCAACTTCTTCGGGGGGAAATTATGTTGTGCTTCCTCGATTCTCAGTCCCCACGTTCAGGCAAAGCGAATTCAAATTTTAACAAGTTCTTGCAAAGCGAATTCAAATCAGTGAAATCACGGATTGAGATTCACGAAAAGATAATAAAGAAAAAATAATAGGTAATTCAGATTTTCAACGAGGGTTTAATGAAAAATATGAATTATCAATCGTCGCTTAAGGACAAGAGAGAATTTTTTGAAGTCAGATCAAAGACTATTTCTCCAAAAAAACGGTTGGTTTCTCTCTTCTATACCTCAATTATCTTTAAGGCAATTGAAAAAAAATGTTTGTTTTTTTAATTCTTTTCTCCAAAAAAGACTGGAAAAGTCAGTTCTTCTCTTAGTTCTTTGGCCGGCTTGATCTCTTTTCGACTTTTTTTTTTTTTTTTTT